GCGGAGCACAGGCTCCGGACGCGCAGGCTCAGCGGCCACGGCCCACGGGCCCAGCCGCTCCGCGGCACGCGGGATCCTCCCGGACCGGGGCAGGAACCCGCGTCCCCTGCATCGGCAGGCGGGCTCCCAACCACTGCGCCACCAGGGAAGCCCAAGAGGGGACTCTTTTAAAGAAGTGGTTTTAGAGAAGTGTATTTCCTCTTGTGAGTAGCATCGTTTGTGAAATATTTATTACTACTGTTAATATGTTTGCATGAACTTGAGATGAAAATACTACATTTGTCTAAGATAGTAGAAGAGGGACTAGTAGCTGGTGATGGTATGAAGGAACTCTATTTTAAGAATGGAAGGAAATTTTAACATTATTTTGACATGATGTGTGAATGCTTATGAATTTTAATTATTATTTTAATTAAGAAAGAAAACTATTTATTATCCATGGCCACTATCAAAGGATCCTGAAGGCACAGTCATGGGTTTCTTTACCCCTGATACCATCCTTTTTTTTCCTATGTTACCAGAAGCTATAATTGAATTTTGGGTATTATTGATTTTAGGGAATGTTTCCTCATTTTGCAGGCATTCTTTATCTATTTTTGTCCTGTGCTACAGCTAATGAATGGTAATATGCTTTGTGAAGAGAAATTACTAGAAATCGTGTTAGTGTATCTAGAACAATCACTAAAATGTCTCACTAAATGAGTTTTGTCAGAACTATGATAAATATGTTCGCATAGAAATCTAGATGACATACTTTAAAAGCAGTAAGCAAGGCATAAATCAGTGCCAGCATCTTTTGAACATTTCAATGATGTAAATTGAATGAATAAATAAGATGGTATGGGGGAAGTTTCACTGTTATTTTTTATCTGTTGTTTAGCTATCAGAACCTTGACAGGAATAGGTTAGAATATCAAGTCAGATTTCTAATGTGAAAGGCTCACTTATAATCCAATAACTTGCCAAATTAAAGGTAATTGTGACAGCGTGTTACAGGAGTGAGGGTGCAAACAAAGATCAGGATACACTCTGTCATCACCTGGCTATCACTCAATCTTGACCTTTTCTTCTTAAAGTTCCCATCATAGTAATAGCATCAATAGCAGTAATCACCACCACCATGGAATAACTCCTAACATTGAGTACTAATGACATAGGTACTCTGCTAAGCACTATCTGATCCTCTCAACTGTACCTATAAGGTAGATATTATTATTATCCCTATTTGATAGATGAGGAAGGTTTTTAGTTTAGAGAAAGTCAGTTTTATTGGCCCAAAGTCACATAGCTAGCAAGTAAGTGGCAGAGTTGAAGCCTTGGTCTGGATTCTCTGACTGGGGACCCATAGCATCCCCCATTGTGTTCTGAAGCTTCTTGAGGCAGAAGCAGAGATTATATGCAAGCCCAAAAGAGGAGTACATGATATTTCTTCCCATCCAGGGTCACTGTGAATCTATAGTTAGATCATGAAGAACTCTTCTTTGACTGCTTCCTGAATTAATACATTGCTATTCTTTGTAATGCTTTTTTTTTCACTGAAATACTTTAATCGTACAAAAAAGTATAAAGTATAAAAAATAATACCACCCTCACCAATATGTCCAGCTCCCCGCTTTGTTAGGACTTCCTTTGTTATATTTGTGTCTGATCTTTTTTTAAAAAAGCAAGCATTTTCATTTAGTATAATTTAAAGCAAAAAGCTCTTTACTTATGAAACAGAAATTCCAAACTTTGACTTTGCCATATGGATATAACTTGAAATGAATTTTAAAAGCTTCCTGAACAAAGTCCTGTGAACTTCAAGTATTTTATTTACAACAAAGGTCTTTGGAGTCAGTAAAGTTCAGGATCATAATTGAAGAATGTTCTGTATTTACAGCTGTTTACTTTCAACGCTCATCAGAGAATAACAACTACTTTAGTCTTCTGAAGTGATGGCATTACTGATTTCTTAGTAACCTTGATTTCCTATTTATGTTTTTTCTTCTCTTCCAGCACAAAAGCTGTGAGCCGCTTTCACTCTCCTTTTATTGTAGAAAATTACAGACATCTGAATCAGCTCCGGGAGCAGCTAGTCCTTGACTGCAGTGCTGAATGGCTTGATTTTCTAGAGTGAGTTTACAATGAAAAATATAATCTGACTTTTTGCTATGAGAAATAGACCGGAAAATCTTTCCATCAAAAAGAAAAGTAGAGATTACTGCTTGTGACCTGCCATAAAATAGTTGAGTACATGTGTTCTCTGATTTTATTTTTAATCCTTTGAAATGTAAGCTCATTTTAGTCTTTAGTAAGAAACCAAATATACTTTATTGTTACTGTACTAATATTTTGTTGCTAAGGATGTTTAGTAGTGTCACTTTGAAATTCTACCTTGGACTTTGTTTACTTTTCTTGTATAAAGGCTTAACATTTTCAGAGTTGGACAAGTATGGGTTAGTTATTTTGTTTTTATCATTGCCATTTAATTTTTTTCTTATATTTTTACATCCTTTACATTTTCCCCCTAACTTTGTAATTTGAAAAGTTTTACATCTGTGGGAAAATTGAAATGAAGATCTATATACCCTTCACCTAGGTTTATCAAGTGTTAACATTTTGCTACATTTGTTTTATATCTCTCTCATACACTTTTTTTTCCTGAAACGTTTTAAAGTAAGTTTTAGACAGTGTAACACTTCACCCCTAAATACTTAAGCATACATCTTCTAAAAATAAGGACATTTTGCTTTGTAATCTTACCACCATTATCATACCTAAGAAATATTAATATTAATTTAAGAAATATTGAGTTGCCTCAATTCCCCCTCCCCCATATTTAATTTTTTAATTTTTTTTATTGAAGTCGAGTTGATTTACAATGCTGTGCCAATCTCTGCTGTACGGCAAAGTGGCTCAGTTATACACATAGAGACATTCTTTTTTCATATTCTTTTCCATTATGGTTTATCACAGGGTATTGAATATAGTTCCCTGTGCTATACAGTAGGACGTTGTTGTTTATCCATCCTGTATATAATAGTTTACATCTGCTAATCCCACACTCCTAGTCCTTTCCTCCCCCACCTCCCTCCCCCTTGGCAACAAATCTGTTCTCTGTGTCTGAGTCCTCCTCCCCCCATATTTAAAAAAACCTTTCACATGTTTCATTTGGTTATTATGTTTCTTTAGTGTATTTCAATCTAGAATAGGCCCCTACCTTTTTGGATTTTTATGAGATTTTTTTGTTTTTTTTGTAGAGTCCTTGCCTTTGTCTTAAAGAATGTCTCATTCTGTATTTATTAATAGTCATATGCTCATATTTAATTTAATTTGCTTGTGTGCTGGTAAATGGTTAACAGCCAACTCTGGAAGAGTAGTAGTGTGTGTTTGATTTCTGTTGTGTCACTACTCCCACCTGGACTGATTGCAATCTCCTGCTGGACTGGACTGGGAAGAGATGTGCACAGCTGAGTTTCAAGAGTCAAGGGGAGCTGGCTCCAGACCACCACGCATCTAAGCACTTTATATATGTTAGCTCATTATTCCTCACAAGAACCCTATTAGTGAAATATTGTTATCATCCCCAATTTACAAATGAATAAAATGAGATGCAGAAATGAAAAATAAGTTGCTCACAACAAGGGTAAGGATTGGAGCCCAGATGCAACCCAGGGTGTCTGGTGGTAGGGTGTGTGCCCCTTACCATCAGGTTGTAGAGCCCGCCCATGATGGATCAATCCATGGGCATCAGTCTAAACAGAAATCTTTCTCTTTAAAAACTTGAACAGTATTCAGTGAAGTCTTCAGGGAGCTTTATTCCATTTAAATTAACCAATCTGACAAGTGAAAAAAAAGGAACAAAAAAGATAATATGTGAGTTTTTAAAAGGTAATAAATTGGTACCATCTCTTGTTGCCCAGCAAAGTTTTGAATTATAGCATCAGAAAGAGATTTTGTTACCGACCAGGGTTTTTGGCCTCCTTACTCAATAGAAATTGATCAGAGGCCAGACAAGAAGTTCCGGCAAGGCTTTACTGGGGCCCCTGCTGCAGCAGGCGGGAATGAGAACAAGCAACAGTTTCCCTTGCTCGCTCAGGGGGGCCAAGCTCGTTCCTTATACGGGGTGAGGGTAGGGGTGTGGCCAGGGGTCAGGCCGGAGGGGTGGCTTAGGTGGCTTGCCCACCCCTTAGGTGACGTTGTGAGCTGGGGGCATGTGCAGCGCCCTGCTTTTGCTCCTGACTCCCTGCTTTTGCTTGGGGCTCTTCAAAAGTGACAGTTGGGTTTTTTGGTCTCTTTGTATCTTGTGTCCAGAATTTGCCCCAACTGGGCATGTGAGCAGTTAGTTTTAGTCCCATGTAGTTCCTTTGTATTTTGTTGCTGGAGGAGAGGTTTGTCCAGGTGTAAGCATTGCAGCACTGCAACAAAGGGTCCCAGGTCCCAGCCTATCTCAATTCCAGTCTACTTATCCTGAATCTTTTGAGGTTATCTTGTCTCAGAGTCTTGAATTCAGGGATGGAAATTTGGTATGAAATTCCTTTTTCCAATTTACTTTGAATTACCCATGTTAAGGGTTTTTAGGGCCCTTGAGTCTCCGTTTTCCTGACCTTTCCCTTAGTAGTATCACTGGGAACATGAAAATTGGACTCACATTTCCCCTTTCAAGCTTCGAGGGCCATGTCCTAGGGTCCTGGGATTTGGTGAGGTTGTTCCTCTTCACTCTCTGCATAACTTACATGATTTTATAGGTCTGGGTTATGTTCGCCCTGTCACGATTCTAGAATAAAGAAAGTTCATGTCTTCCAGGCTAAAGATTTTGGCGGCATCTGGATTCTTTCTTTTTGTCTCTTTATCTGTTATCAAATTCCTGTTTGTCTTTTTTCTCTTTGAAATGTCTCTTTGATTTGCCCCTTCCTCTCCTGTCCTCTTCTCACACCTCACCGTTCTCACTGTGTCAGCCCTCTGCTGGGCCATTCTACCCCATTAACCCAGGAAAATCCTGCTTTCATTGTACCACACCTTTGCTGTAGTTGGGTGTGAGCTAACATTAAATAAAACATCACAGAAGAATATGATACTCATGATATATTGCTAAGCGAAAAAAGGATGGAAAGTATCAAAATGTGATGCTAATTCTGTATGTGTAAATTCACTTACATGCACAGCATACAAATCTTTGTATTTTAAAAGATTAAATATATGTGCTATTATTATTAATATGCTTATTGGCCATTTGTATATCTTTGGAGAAGTGTGTGTGTGTGGGTGGGTGGATGGGTGTGTATCGTCTCAAATATTAAGTGATTAATTCTGGATGATGAGGTTACTGGAAATTTAATGTACTTTGCAGATACATGATATCAAAAGTTTCTATAATATACATATATTACTTTCAAAATGAGAAAAATATGTTAAATTTTTTATCTTAAAAAAGAGTATTGTCTGAAATTTAGCTACAGCATTTGCAACTAGAGCCCCAACTTGAGAATAGCATTGATTGTTATGGCATACTGTTTACTGAGGTGCCAGATGGTGTGAATATGTCAGTTCAGAAATGATTAACCTCATTGAATGTGACACCAGAGGATTGAATACCAGCTATACAAAGTGTTTTTGTCTCTTACTGAGATACTAACAGTTGTCCATTAGTCACATTACTTTTTATCAAAATATCGTAAGAAATCAAGGCTGTAAGAAAGTCTGTGAATAGAACCCTCTCTCAAAAAACTGTCTCTTCTTTTGTGTTCTAGAAGATGGGCTGTGGATATTGAATAATCTCAACTGCAAATTCTTTAAAAATTGAATTATAATACCTCTCACACAGTCATTTGATTATTTTAGAAATTCATTTGCAAATGAAAAATAAAATATCCTCCTTTTTTATTAACTTCAGATATCATTGAGCCACATTTGATAGTAAACATATGATGGTAAACTGTCATAACAACTTCAGAACACAAGTGTCTTAATCTGCTTCCCATGGACCCAGCAATATCTTTTGACCAGAAATTAAATCACAGTGGTTAGGTGAAGTTGTTTGGTGGCCTAGTGATAAAGTTGCACGTTGTTATGACATAAACCCAGTCTATCAGATTGTTATCTGAACTGCCCATTTTTCAGCTTGTCATTTTTCTAAGTATGAATGATCTCTTTGAAATTTGGCGAAGTGTAGCAAATAGACAAAGACCGAGAAGTCAGACAAGGCTTCTTCAGAATTATGAAGTTATGATGGTGATGTTTAAGGTTTATGATAGTTTTAAAATTTTTTTCACATGCCTTATTTATACAATTGACATGAAAAAGAACATTGTCGTCCATATCAAAATAATTACCCTCTCTCTCCTGCCTTTTTTGTTGTTAAACTGAAATGGTACTGACTGAGAGTTATGTTACTCATTTCAATCCTGGAAGTTAGAAGATCATCAGGGACACTTACCCTCAACCTAAGGCTGTTGGGTAGTGGCAAATTAGGGTTTTAGTAGCCTGGACAGGACTTGAGAAGAATGGAGTGAGAGTAGGAAAAAAATGACTGCTTTTTTTTTTTTTTTTTTTTTTTAAGTGCCACAGGTACTTTGACACTCAGATCCAGAGAGGCAAGAGCAGAAACATCAAATGTGGCTGCTCTTTGGCAAAAGAGAGATGGCCAGGATAGGAAGACCAGATGGGTCAGTAATTAGAATTAGGGACAGAATCAGCCACAGTCCAAGGGATAGATGAGTGGTCAGATCTAAAATTGAAGCCAGACCAGAAATGACAAGGCCTGATCACTGGGCAACCACTCAGGGGTGTTACATCCGTGTATCACGTGGCATCTTCGAAACTTAATTTATTTTTATTTTTTTATTTTTATTTTTTGCGGTACGTGGGCCTCTCACTGCTGTGGCCTCTCCCGTTGTGGAGCACAGGCTCCAGACGCGCAGGCTCAGCGGCCATGGCTCACGGGCCCAGCCGCTCTGCAGCATGTGGGATCTTCCCAGACCGGGGCACGAACCCGTGTCCCCTGCATCGGCAGGCGGACTCTCAACCACTGCGCCACCAGGGAAGCCCAAGAGTCATTTTTAAGGTGACAACTTGGTGCTCCTGTCTGATGGCAGGGGCCAGTCTCCTTTGTGTTCGGGATTTTGCACAGACTCTTAATACTGTTAGTGGGATTCATGTTGTTTGTTTTGATTAACTTTAATTCAGGGAGAAATAGATAAATTGTATTCATTATGCTCCATCTACTCAAAGAAGTTTAAAATATACTGTAATGTAAAAATATATTTTTCAGTTCACAAATTTTTCAATTCACAAAGTTAATGCAGAAATAAAACTGGATATTTAACGTGTTGTTTCTAGTATCTGAAAAAGTCATTTACATAGAATAGATTAGTCTAATATTAATAAAAATCAGAAATTACAGACTCTAAAAAATCAATACAATATTATAGTAATAACTAATCACATAGTAGCTTAATCTGGATGTCGTTTTCAAACTAGGAAGAACTCTAAAAACCTTTGGATTTAAGAAGCAAACAGACTAAATCTCTAAGTTTCTGAAACCCACAGTACAATGCAGAAATATTTTTTAAGAGAAGCATTCAGCATAACAGTCATCACTTTTGTGGGGATCTTCTTTAAAAGGGTATAAGGGACTCCTGTGACAAGAGATAATGGGATAATCTAAGCAAAAAAAAAAAACAAAGAGAAGGAAACCCCCTGGATACATTCCTATATTTTTTCTTGAATAAGCCTTTCAGTAAAATCTTTTAAGCTTTTAGATGACCAGCTACTTAATTGGCCAAAGATTTGAATCAGTGGCACACCTATCGAAAAACAAGTCTAAGATTTAATTTCTATATGAATTATTAATAAGACAACTGACGGTTACTGAAAAAAAGTACCTTTCTTCTTGCTTGCCTTCAGTGAAATTTATTACAGTGTCAACTCTATGGGCTAGATGTTAAATAAGTAAATCAGATGGATTTGGGTTCTACCATCGAGAAGTTTCCGGTCAGTGTAAGAGAAAGATAATAAAACTGTTATTCCTAGTTTGGATGACGCTGTGAAGGAGAAGCACAAAGGGAGTCTGACCCATTTGGGTAGTTCATGACATTATTTAAGCTAAATGAAAATGATCACTACATTAGTGTTCATTAGGTCTGAGTTGAAGTGTCATGGTCAGATGAAATGTGCAATAAGGTATTAATAGTAGACGTCTTTTGTATAGAAACTTTTAAATATATATATTTCTTTCCAAGTGAAACAAAAAGAAGCCTCAATAATCAAGTTATTAAACAGAAAAGTAGTTCACTGTAATTTCCACCTTTCTTAACCGCTAGGTATGCCTGGTTATTTTGTTTATGCTCATCTTAGCTAACAAAGTGATTACTTATTGTGCAGCTTTTACAGGTCTAAGAAATCAATTTGCTCACCTTTTTGTTGTTGTTTCTGTAGGAATTTCAGTGAACATTATCACTCCTTTTGTAAAGCAGTACATCACCTAGCAACTGTTGACTGCATTTTCTCCCTGGCCAAGGTCGCTAAGCAAGGAGATTACTGCAGGTAATGTGTTTTTTAATTTCTCCCCTTTTCCAGTGCTTTAGAACAGATAGAATTATTCAATTAATTTTAGTGTTTTTATTGTAAGGTATTACAATTACTCAAATATGTTGAACTCTTGGTAAAGCTGAATGTCATACACATATAGCTTGATTTAAAATTAAGAAATTCCTTTCTTGCTGTACCATTGAGTACAATGAAAGCAGATATTCACTATAACTAGAGGGGAATGTTACATATTTCAATTTTTAGGTTTATGTGGGTGACATTTTCATAAAGGAGCAATCCTTTCATTCGTTAGCGTTTGCTGGAACACTTTATGATATGTTTAACTTTATAATTATAAAAGTCTCATTTAAATATCATCTAAATCAGATATGGGGGAGAGTTAAGGTATGATTCATTTTGAGGCAAATTGCACTCAGTTGCTCTTCCTGAAGTCCAAATCTTAAGCTTCAGCTAAATCTTTGACTCAGTGCTCTATCCTCTAGGCCCACTGGGGCACAAGGGTCCTGCTTTCCCGACCCACTGGGGTGGCAGTCCTGTTCCCATAGATTTGCTTGGCAAAGGTTGGGCCCCTAGGGCTCCAGGCCACCCAGCTCCCACAGTGGCTCTGTGCCTGGGCCCTGCCCATGAGGTAGGTCTCTTTGGTGGCCCCACTTCTGCTGGTGCTCTGTGCCTGAGCTCACTCTGGCAGCTGCCCCAGACCGGAATTTTGCACAGGTGGCTCTCTGTGACTCCTGTGGGCATTGCCCTATTGGGGGCTCTCTCGGGTCTCTTTTATAAGAATACTAGCCCATTCTTGAGGGTTCTGCTCTTATGACCTAATCATCTCTTAGGGGCATAGTTTTAAATACCAGCCTGGTTTTTGACAACTGACTTTAAACAAGTTTTGTAACCTGTCTGATCCTCAGTTTCTGCATTGACAAAATAACACCTGCCTCTTAGAAATGTTGTGCAAATTAAATGTGATAAAGACATTATGAAACTTCTAAGCAGGGCCAGGTAGATGATAAGCACTTAATAAACAGCAATTGTTACTCACAGATGTTTATTCAAAAATCAGAAAGAATTAAGTATTGTAAAAGTTTTTTGTCTTTAATAAAAAATATCTGAGCTTAAGGGTTTTTAGTATGTTTCATACCTATAATAATTTATTTTTTAAAAATCATTTTTCGTTTTCTGTCAATTTGCAATCTTGTCTGTCTCTGTGAACATGGTAAGCATAGTTATCTGAAAGTCTGTGTCTGATGATTTGAATATCTGTAGTCCTTGTGGGCCTGTGTCTATTGTCTGTTGTTTCTGTTCATTTTCATTCATGTATCTCCTTGAATGCCTGGTTATTTTGATTATCTTCTAGGCATTGTATTTGCAAAATCATTTGTAGAAATAATTTGATGTTATATTTCTTCTGAAAGAGTTACATCTCGATACACTAACGTTCTGGCATCACTTAGTCCTTATCAGGGCTTGAGGTGATTCAGAGATTCAAAGACTCAAATATTCAAAGGTTCAAAGATTCAGAATCTGCATTTCTCACTTCAAATGCACTCTTATGCCTGATGCGCAGCCTTTTGGTATCTCAATCCAGAGTAAAGCTGTCCATAGTGCTCAGTGTCAGCCGTTCCCTCAGTAATTGGCAAACAGTCTCCCTGACCCTCTGTTCTGCCCCCGATCCTGCCCTGGTAATTCCTTGCTGTCCTGTTAGTTGTCAGGAGCCTTCAATTAGCTGTTTTCTGTACTTTATCCAACCTCTTGTCCTCAGTAGGATTGTTCCAAACCACCTCTTCTATTAGTAAGACAATTTCAGGAAATTTTGCACACTAAAATACTATTCAAATTGGATACTATATATTTTATATTAAGAAAAATCCACCTGAAAAATTGAAATGAAAAATCACGCCATAACCTTTAAGTAATATACTCAGTCTCTCTTTTAGCAGCCATAAAATTGAGTGTAAATAGCTATGAAATAGGAAACGTTTATCTAATCTAAACTAGTACTTAAGTATCTGAAGTTTATACTTTTTTTTCCTTAGATTTCCAACTTGTTTAAAGATTTCAGTGCATCTGAGTTATTGCAGTTAAAATTGATTATTTGGCTTCATAATTACAGTCTCTTCTTTCTAAATGCTATTAGGGCACTTTATTCACTGGAGTCTAAATCTTTATGCAGAAGTTCTTATTCTAGGTCTTTCTACCCAATTTGTATTCTGGACATTATACTGTTTTATTAATATGGATTATGTCTTGTTTCTCTGGGGCATTTAAAGGAGAATGATGCAATTTTAAAAATATAAAACAAGTAAATTTGTTCAAGTTCAATGTTTCATTCTTTTCAGGCAGAATCCAGATTTTCTCAGTTCTTTCTCTTCAGTGCCACAAAATGCCCTCAACATGATTTTCATATCTTTCTTGCTGTAACTGTCCTGTCCTAATATATCATCTCAGCTCTCTGAATAATCATTTGCTTCTTACTACACCAGGAAGTGTTTTGTCATTATGTAATTTTGATAGTAACAGAATAAGTCAATGTAGATTTTAGAGCAGAAAAAAATCACTCAAATTTTTATTCACTTTAGTGAAAACCTTCCTGGGAAATCATATCAATGTCATGAATATATGTTGATTTCACTTGGCAGAGCTCTTAGAATTTTATTTTAAAACTGCTATTGCTTACAGTTGGTTTCATCTTTTTTCTTTTACAGTAGATTCATAACCCATTTAGGTAAAAACTGTATTTTAAAATTATACCCTAAAATTAAAAAACTGTGCTTTTCTTGTAATTTTAAATGTCCTTTTCCAAAGGATGATTTCGAATTGTTTACTCGGAAGATACTTTAGTGACTTTCTTTGAGACATGTGAGTGTACATTCTTGGGGTTTTGTTAGCCAGATATATTTAAGAAGAATTTAAGTATTTATTTAGGCAAGTAGTATTTCTTGGTGTTTTGAGTAAGTTCAGAAATGTGCTTATATGTGAAAGTTGTGAGTCTAAGCACTTGAGGAGTTCATTGATAGGATGTTAAGCTGAAAAAGACCAGCAAGTGGCCAAGAAATTGATGAAAAAACATTCAACCTTAGGAATCAGTGATTGCAAATTAAAGCAATGAGGTCACACTGTTAAAAATTAGAAAGTTTGATAATACCAACTTTAGATAAGTGTATGAAAAGTCACCTTTCATATCCTGCTGGTGGGAGGGTAAATTGATACAGGTATCTCGTCTGTTAAAAAATATGCATACCCTATGATTTGGAAATTCTGCTTCAGGAATTTCCTCTGGTTTAGAGAAACACTTGGAAATATGCACATGCACACATATATATGGGTGTTCATTGGAGCATTGTTTATAACAGTGAAAATCTAGACAGTCTAAATGTTCAACAGTGGAGAACAGCTAACTTATTATTATTCAGCACCTTCCAAAGAATGCTGAAGTTCTGACAAGGAATGATCTGTAATCTTCTGTATTCCATGCCATCAGGGTTCACTGGACCTAATTTCAGCTTTGAGCTCTTTAAAGTTCTTCCAAAGAACAAAGAGACAATTTACCTTTTTTTTTTTTTTTAAAAGGAGAGTAAAATTTATTCTGTCTTGCATTTACCAGATGGGTCCATGGGACACTTTTATAAATCAAAGATGCATTTTGGGATCTTTAATGATTTTTATCTTATGTCTGGAATGCTTTACTATTTCATCATCCCAGGAATGATTTCATCACTGTTTATCAATTTTTCCCAATATGCTGTAAAAGTTTAAAATAAGAAGGAAGCTGGAGAATGATGGTGCAAAATTAAGACAGAAATCACTGTCACATCATTCTTCATTTTTCTCATTGTATTTTCCGAAGAGTTACATCATCTTTCAAGAAGGTATATAAGAAGACTGGAGATGCCACTCTTGTAGTTTGCTTCTAACTTTGAGTGAACACAGTAGAGAACTCAGAATTTTTCATTTCTCACGCATAATAGCAAAGAGAAAAAAACTGATGGGAGACATTTTATTGTTACTAGGTTATTCAAAAGATGAATGTGAAGGGAAAGATAGCAGTGCTCTAGATACTAATGATGGTGGTGAAATTTCTTGTGTAGACAAAATATCAGATTATGAGTGTATGGATAATAATATCCTAGGTGCACTGTCTCCAACTCAAGAATTAGCGTGTGAGTAATTTATTTGTGAGGGCAAAATGAAATGTAGTATTCTTATCCAGTTTGTTATTCCAAAGGAAACACACAGCATGCAATACTTAGTGACAAGAAACGGGACCATCCTGTTTGGCTAAAAGGACGTCTGGGAGTATTCTTTTTTGATATTTGTGCACTAAAATTTACTTGATACTGTTTGCTGGTGGATAGGTGCTGAAGGCAGGAGATTGAAAGAAAATAGATGATATAAAATAAAAATACTCATTTGATTGATTATTCTAATTGTATTTATAAACGTTAAGTGCAAAAATGTTTTGCAGTTATGAAGCAAAGAAGATGGCTGTCTTCTCTTTTACAAAATTATGAGCTTTAAAAGATTTCAGAAATTCTTCAAACATTGCATTTTTGTTGCAAGTGGTAAAAGAATCAGAAATAATGATAAGCTAAAACCTATTAGAAATGTATTGAAATCTAGAATTAGTATTTATAAATGAATATGGTCCAGGTGCATGCATGACAGCTTATGAACAGTTATTTACATTCACAGTGTGTTGCCCATTCCAGGTATATATGCCTTCAAAACCAGGAAAATATAGAATAGAAATTTGAGATTTGCTGTATTTGAATTCTTACTAAAATTTGTCATGATTTTTTTCACTATTATTTGCAGTTCTACATATTACTTGTAAAATGACTTAGAAATATTTAAAAAATAAATGAAAGAGTCCATTGGACCCGTATGGTAAATGGTGAAATTTGCCTTTTATATGTATTGAGGAATATTAAGGGGGAAAAAAAGTAGTTGTGGAATGATATCTTACAGTATGATTCTTTTTTTTTTTTTTAAGAAGAAATCACAAAGCAATACAATGAGTGTATATAAACTTAAATGCAGAGAAGAAGGTTGGAAAGAGTAGACTCCAAACTGCTCTCAGTGGTAACCCCTGGGGAGGAGACAGACAGAAGGACAGTGCTCACAAGAGCTTGGATAGATAAAGCTATAGATAAAAACAGGAAGATAAAACCTTAAAAAACAAAACCAGCAAAGCAAACAAACATTTTTTATATCAAAAAAAGTGAAAGATACTAAAGACCATATAAAGATGTTTTAATTAAACCGAATATGAAAATTTTAGGTCCTTCTGTCCCCAAGTCCAACACACAATTTTTATTAATGTAATAATTAAATCTAGAAATAATTTTGCCTGATTTTCTTTATTTTGCTTATTACTAAAAATGATTTAAGTAGCAATAATCTGAACTGTAATTTTTATTAATGAAAATATTTTAGAGAATAGTAGAAAAATAAAAAATAAAAAGGATCTTATAAAGGTAGTTATGGAGCCATCATAAGACTCTGCTAAAGTTTGTGCTTCAGAGCACTATAATTATAATAATTGTCTTTCCAATTCTGATTCTACAGTTGAAATTTAACTTTTATACTCAAAGACTTATTCTGAACATATGTTCTTAAAGTCCGTGTTTAAGGTTTTGTTGTGTGTCTGACAGACTGGCCACAAAAATTTTCATGCTTTTAGAGATTTTTTTAAAGCCTGTTTCCTTGCCTTGTAAATTGAAACATGCTTCTTTTCGCAGACCAACTCTACAAGAAGAAAGGAAAATCATAATAAAAAATGGCCGGCACCCTGTGATTGACGTGCTGCTGGGAGAACAGGACCAGTATGTTCCCAATAGCACAAATTTGTTGGTAAGTATCACATCATGGCCAAAAATAAGTGAAAGATGATAACACTAGTCTCAAACTTTTAAATACCAAGTAATGTTTTAAAAACTTACACAAGTTTTACCTTAGGCTTTAAATCAACTAATCCTTGGCTGTAGTTTTATATTCACCACCAAATATGGAATCAGTGCTATTTCCAATGAAAGGCTATCTATAGAGGGAACAATTTAGCAACTAAAGGATTAGCCTTAATTAGTTATCCTTGGTAATCCAGGGAAAATATTTTATATTTATAAATGCTCGCAGATGCTAATGGGGTAGAATCATACCATGGTTTTGCAGATTCCTGTTGGTGTATAGTATAGGCTTTGTCTTTTGCTCTACTGTTTTCAGACATTCTGTGAAAGAATCACAGATGCTTCAGCTGATTTCAATGATAAGAATTTTTGTTATATGAGCTAGAGTTCTCTTATACTACATTAATGATTTAAAATACTTATTCATTTAACACATGCTTACTGAGTTCCTATTTAGCCCCAGGTAGTGAAGCAGAGTATTAGGACAGAGAGTGGAAAGCAAGACAGAAATATCCCTGCCCTTAGAGAGCTGGTGGTCTAGCAGAGAAGATAGTTTATTACAATACAGCTTGGTCAGGCTAGGGTACAGGAGACCAGGTGTCATGGAGCACGTAGCAGGTTGACCTAACCCAACGTAGGGGGGAGCATTTGCGAAGTTTCGCAGGGATGAAATATTGACTGAAGAGAGTGAGTCAGTGCAGGCCAGGGAAATGGAGAGGAGTATTCCAGGTCAGAAACTAGCATGGTAAAGTCTGGGAGTGAGACAGGGTGGGTTCAGGGAACTGAAGGATGTTGAGGTAGGTTGGGACATAGAGTGTAAAGAAAAAAGTGTCAGAAATAAGGAAGAGGCCAATTTGTTTAAAGCCATGTTAAGGAATTTAGATTTTTTTTTTTCCTAAAGGATTGAGAATACTAGCAAGAGAATGATTAAAGCTGGGGAAAAAAGTGAACTGTGTGTGTGTGTGTGTGTGTGTGTGTGTGTGTGTGTGTGTTGGTGTGTTACATAGAATTACATTGTCAAAGATAAACAGAGCTGTATACTACCACACACTAATTAAAGTAGTAAGGGTAGTTTTATTCATTAATATTATTGCATAGGGAAAAGAGTCCAGCTTGAACTGAATTCAACTTCAGTTTGTACAGAGGTGACTGGGTGTCTTAAAGGGAGAATGAGGGAGTAGGGAGGAGTGGTGGGCGTGGGCAGGTTCAAGGAAATGGGAACAGAAAAATTGAGAAAGGGGATTGGTTAGTGTGAGACCCTTCTGGGTTTATTAACTGGCAACTGTTGCTAATACCCTCCCACAGGGACTGAGAAGGACAGTGAGAGTTATTTCCATGAATGTTTGCATTTCATGCAGCCCTAGGTGGTAGAAGATTTACCTCTTAGAGGGGCAGAGAAAGGATTTATAATTGCAAGCTTTCTGAAGTAACTGCTCTAAGAGAAGGTTCGGGGTCTATCTGCCTATCACCACGTTTTGGCTGGAACAAGTATAAATTCTCTTGGCAGTGTTGTGCTTTTGTAGGCAGGCACTTTAAGGGGGACTGGGGTCATCCCAAGAATGCAGCCTTGAGCAGTTAGAGGCTCTGCTGGCTTTTGTTCTGGTCTCTTAGTGGGGAGGGTAAATGAGAGGGTTGCAGTTGTTATAGGCCAAGGCTGGGGCCTAGTCAAGAAGAGGGCTCAGAGGAGCCTGACTAGAATTTAGTCAAGGAGGGAGTCTTTGTCAACACAGAGGAAAATTATCTGGTGATGAGATGGAAGAATTAATATGTAGTGAGAGAGATTGTATCAGAGAATGAGATGCCTGACTTCAAGATTTCAGAGGTAGTGTTCTGGGTGAGGGCAGGATCCTAGGTATGGCCGTGGAAGGTGAGTAGCGGAAGTGGAGAAGGTCTTCGGAGATGAGGAGATCACGGAACAGCATTTGAGAAAAAGGCAACCATACGCACGTTGAAATCATCTAAAACAACAGGATTTGTAGTGGAAGGTGAAGATGGTCCAGGTGTCAGAGATTGCGAGGGATGGAGACTGGTGACCTGGAGGTAGATGTAGATGCCTGCAGTGAAGACAAGTAGAGATGGTAAAGCCCTGAGGAAGCAGATATGGGAGAACGTTTGAACCCTGAGATACATGTGACAGGATGTGGCAAAAAAACTCATCCTTGAAATGAGAGGACTGCAGGGGAATAACAGCCAGCTTTCAGTCTAAGTCAACGTATGAAGGAGGTGTTAAGCAAGGAAGTTAGAAACATAGAAGTATTGGGGAATTTTTCAGAGGATAGTGAGAAAATTGAAATGTAGGGGAGCAGTTGGAAATTAGGTCAGAGAAATGAAGCCCAGGAGAGCAAGGGAGTTGAGAATATCACAGAGTATTCCATCTTGGGCTGTGAGCAAGGGTGACAGAGATGTGAGCCTGGTGAATTTGGTTGACCACAAGGGTGGTGAGCAAAAGGAAATGCTTTGAATTACATCAAGTTTAACAATACATTCTGATATTGCCAACTAAAAAAATGCACAACGTGAGAGTTTTGAGTTAAGTTTTATGTGGGACAACATGAGGGCTATAGCCTGGGAGACAGCATTTCAGATAGCTCTGAGAAACTGCTCCAAAGAGGTGGGGGGAAAGATCAGTGTTACATATGACTTTAGTGAAGGGGGTGCGTGCAGTCAAGTACATGTTTTGGCGGAGGCTTGCTGCTAGTTACGAGGAGCAGATGTCACCATTAATGATTTTAGTGCTTTTCTAGATAGGAGGAGGTGCAAGAATTGGGCTCAAAATGTTCTCCTCAAAGTATCTAACTATCTGAAGCCCTGTTCTGCCAGTTTTTCCCAGAGCACAGAGTGCCTTATTCCTGATCTCCACCCTGAACTCCTTCCAGGGTGTGTTGAAGGTCAGCGGTTGCAGTGGTTTGTGACTTAGTCCTTGTAGAGGCAGATGGCAAGTGGCAATTTTTCGTTGGCAATATCATACAGAGACTTGTAGGAGTACATAACCAGATCCCCAGTGTCTGTAAACATGTTTATTCTCATTAGGGAATTTGTAAGTTACTTAATTTATCAAACCAAGTTAATAAGTACTTGGAAGTACTTATTACAGGAAGTCTCTGTGAACGTAAGAATTTCTTTTTCAGTTTCCATAATACCAGTAGGGTGTAACTTTTCTTGAGAAAGTAATAGAGTTGTACCATATAGTACCTTGGTTTACTTATAAATCACTTGAAACATCATTTCCTGTTGTTATTCCCATCCCCCAAAACACCAATCAAGTATGTTATTCTTGACATTGAATTTGTTTTTTTCCTTTTTTTATTCTTTTTTTCCCCCCTCTTTTAAGTAATGTATTACACTATTTAAAAAAGCAAGATTTGAGAAACTAAATTAGCCTAATTACAGGAATGTTTCAAAGAAGCGTTGAACTCTTACTTTTAAATTTTTACAAAATAAGTGGAGTGATTTATTCCAGCAAGCACCTCAGAATATTCCAGAATATTCATTTCTTTTACATATGCTTTTTCTAACTTGAGTAGGAGTTGATATAGAACTGTTGCTATGGTGAAGTGCATTCTTTTTTGCAGGGTATAAATTTCTATATAGGGATACTGTAGAAAAAGAACTTACTATGTAAAACTCAATTTTAAATATTTTATAGGTGTTAATTATAAAATACACTCTGAAAATAATTTCTTGAAAGTCAGGTGGCATCGTTGCTTTTGATAGTCATGTAATTTTAAGAAATGGTCTTTTGCACATGTAATTATACTTTTCTGGATTCTGTATTATATGAACTCATTGTAATGCTTCTAAACAAGCCAACTTACTGCCTGCTTTTCCTCAACTGGTTTTAAGAATACTCATTTTTTTTTCACATCTCACAGTCTTGCGTTGATTTATGAATTTTTTACTACATTTGGTGGAGATCCCAAGGTGAAGGTGGATATAAAAGCCAGGAGAGAGGGCTGAGCTGGAGTTAGGGATTTAAGAATCATCACGATGCATGTACGGGGAGTTTAGATTCTGGGTCTGTCACTCAGGAAGATTGTATAAAAATGTAAAGAAGGCTGAAGAAAAAGCCCTCTCAGGCATGACATGGAAGAGTCATTTCACTGAAAGTGGGTTTAGCTAAAGAGAATTTTTCAAGTATCTTTTAAATATATCCCTACCTAATTTTTAACGTTCAGTTATTGTTTCATCTGAACATCAAAAAAAAATAGAAATACAAAAAATTTTAAAAAACAAGGTGCTATTGTATATTCCTTTTTATCCTTTAAGACCTGGCTCTGCCTCCTCTTCTAGGAAACCTTGTTTGACTTCTGCAAGCATAACTGAAAGGAATACGCTTTTAAACCCTCCCTTTTTGGTTCCCTTCCCTGACTAATTACATAATCTGAGTATTTGTAGACTTAGCAGCCACTGGATCTGCCCACCTCCAGTTTATTCTCCACTCTGCAGCCACAGGGCTTTTCCTAACCTGTCATATCACTCCCTTATTTGAATTAATGCTTAAAATTCCAGTCGTATAGTTCCCAACGTACTGCGCCACTAAGGGACTTGGCAGATGGTCTTCCCTCTGCCTAGAATGTCATCTTCCCCCACACCGTCCGCACCCACCTCCCACACACCCACCTCCCACCCCACGTGCCCTCCAGCTCCTGCTTTTCTTTAAGTCTGGTCCTGGTGTCACATCCCGCACTAAAGCTTCCCTACCAAAGCTGGGATGCGTACCCCTGTCACATACCCACAGCACTCTGTATTTCTCCCCAGTTTAGTCTTTATGCCACTAAATTGTAATTGCCTTTTTTTGGTTTGTGGTTCCCAGTGGATTATAAGCTTGAAGAGAACAGGGACTTTGCTTCTATGCTTTAGTTATAATCCTACTGTCAATCACGGCTCTCTGGCACGTAGCAGGCATCTAATCAGATTTGTTAAATAAGGATTAACTTGAAGTCTTGA